AAAGTAGCGGACATGATGGACACATCGGTAGATCTGTATTTGTCAACAAAAAAGACATGTTGCGATCTTTCGGTGCACCCTGTGAAACCGGTGGGCCAAACCAATCGGAAACGACTCTTCAGAGCGCTCGCGCTGCATATGACAGCAGAAGGAAGCGATCCGCCATTTCGTTCGGCGCAACGCTGTTTGCTTCGGCACGTTGGGAAAAAAGTTGGGACAATGAATTGCCCCTGTCCGAGCATCTGATGCATATTGCGCATCTATCGTAGTCGTGTGTCCTTGCTCATGGATGCTTATGAGCTGGATACATGCCACTGAATTCGAAGACGAGAGAACTCGGATCTTTGCAGCGCATAATGCATGGCGAGCATCGTCACTCGCTTCCGATTCCCTTCTCGAGGACGAACCAATACGTGGCAATCGTATCATATTTTGCTATGTGATAATCACTTGGAGATCACCGTCTTGGGTCATGGAGCTTAGGCGTTGGCGTAAACATTACGAGTCGTGCGGCGCGATAGCTGCGCTCAACTGCAGCATACGGGTACAGCCGCTACATGCTTCAATCCGCGACCCAACAACTACCCGGCATAAACACCAGTCGAATGGCTGTCCCACAGACTGAGTATGCATAGCGCTTTTGCCATCTACCCGCTAAAGTTTCACGAATCTGGACATGTTGACTGCGTGCCCTCGCAGTAAAGAGCACGATTCAGTGATGCTGTCTGGACCTGGTAAAGCAACCACGATTCAATACATTTGGATACCGACGCATTCCTCGTGCATCCTTTTGTTGGTGAGAGCTCTGGCATGATCCATCTCGAGATGAGTTGCCTACGTTCGAGATGCGCGTGGGAGATCGTACCAGTGCCTTTAGTGAAACCGTGACTTGCTCTGAGAACGTCAAGCAGTGAGCGACCTGTAACCTGGTGGACGCTACCGCGGCTTTGGCGGTAAGCACTTCATCACTCTTTCTAGTATGCTATCTGGTGTACCTCCCTTGGCATGACGATACCGCATGGAGAGGATCCGATCAAACGTTGTCAATTGACGTCGTATCGTCATCGCTTTGCACCTGACTTGACCGGAACGAGCATCCGTTTGTTCAGGAAAACATCGTCTGAAAAGTGTATGCTGACAGCGCCGTTCACCATCTCCAGAACTTGCAGCATGCACATGTTTCAATGCTGTGTACAATGGGACTGCAGATGCGTGTAGGCATCGAGCGTCACCTAACGCAAGAATCTTTCAAGATTTTTTCTGATTTTGGACCCCGTCCTTGAACACGATAGAAATTTGTTGATAGAGTCGACCATGGCATGTTGGCCTCGCCTAGTTATGCCACGTCCTGAGTAGGCGCCGATTTGAGAGCACAAGTGCTCAATCTGTAAGCCGGAGCTGGAAGAAGAAGAATGGATATACTTGATTCATGAGCGTAATGAAGTTCAGGGAGTTCGTTTTGCAACGAGCGATGAATACAATATCACTCTATCTTGTCTTGTTGCGATATGCCCCGATGCTTCTATCCGTTACTTGTATTATCGGTCAGAGAATCGGTCATGTTTTATCGCATCACTGGTACGCTAGCGCCTCTTAGTTGCTGCACTCTATTCTGTGACAATGGAGCCACTGATGTGCAGTCGTGCGCGTTGTCATTCCACCAAATCACGATACGTCAAAAGAGTAGCATTGGCAGCGTTCGTCTCTGCTTACTACACAAGCCCAAACGTGGTAGTTTTTGCATCCTTGCTGACTGAGAAAAGCGTTTAACGTGGTGATCTTTGCATCCTTGCTAAGTGAGAAATGTTTCTTAAACAGTCAAAGTCGTTCCAGCAAAGCTGACTGGAGGCTGCGTTTGCCACGATGTTGTGCGGCACAAACCATACGAATCCATGGCAAAGTCAAGTGTCAATCCAAATCCGCAAAAACAAGCACTCGAACCGGTGCTGGACGCACCAATCGAAAGACTTGTCAACTGTTCTCCCTCCAAAGCAGCAGTGCTGTCACTAGACACTTTGCTGCCACCGCCTGCTACCGACCTTTGCACTAAATGACCATCACGACGTCGAACAGCCCCTGAACAATCTTACGATAACGGATGCACCACTTACTTGCTAGTTCCGCCTGCACCGCTATCAGCGTCCGTAGAATGCTGCGCTCTGCCTTCAGATCGCGGTGCGTGCGGTACAAAGCGGCCGGATCTAGCGGTACATCCGAGGAACGTGATGATCGCGATAATGTACACTGTATCATGGGCAAACGCTTTTCGACAGCAAAGAGGGACCTTCCATTGGTAGTACGATACTGCACACGAAACTCTGGCAAACCAATGTCTGACTGACTTGTAACGCCACGCCATGGCAATTATCTTCCTCCTCTTTTCTCTTCCTCTTTTCTTGTCGTCCCGTATACCGACGCAACTACAGCACCGCATCGCATCTCGAGTGCTTTTCCAGCGTCACTAGTCGACGCGTCAAAGTCTTGATGTTACTTGTTGTTTCTGACCCGCCTACTTGCTACTTGTGCACGAATCCGTTTACTTCAGCTGCAAGAGCTCCATATAGTGCATTGCCACGTCCACTCGTTGTGGATCCAGTGGTCAGGTTTAAGGGGGTTACGCTGGACACGCGCACGGCTACGGTGGTCGTTGACAACCGCTGCAAAAGTGGGATTCGGAGCCAATCATCAACGACGTGATGGCCCCACTGGATCCTGCATGTCGCTGGACTAATCAACACCTGAGGTAAACAGATGATCCATGACTAAGATCGCAAAAGATCGCAAAAGATCGAAACGGTATCGGTTTTTTTTAGAATGCACACGTATCTTTGACATGTTGGGGCCGCAGAAAAGAAAGTGCTTTTTTATTCCACTTTTGCCTTGAGGTGGCTGTCGCTGATGGGTACACGTCGTTTAGGGGAAGTGCAAGCAAGACATGCCCGACAAGAGGTGTGACGACCGAGTAGTTGAGTACGTGTAGGTGGGATGGCTGCGTACTAGAAACGCGATGCCATTCCGTTCGAATGAGTGGGCGCAAGCGGCAATCCATTACTGGTTGTTGCTCTGACACAGATGACCGTCGAAGTACTAAATGGCTCGAGCCTACGTGAACGTCTCTTGGAAACACGTGTTCCGCGAGACATGCACGTGCCAAACTTACTTGAGCTGCAGGACCAACTACCATCCCACCAGGTAGCGAGGGAGATGAACGGTAGACGTCGATGTAGAGAAGAGAGCACCGCCGTCGACCCAGCGCATGAATGCCTCGCCACATTCGCGAAAAGGATGTTGGCCACCGAACGCAATGTGCGGACAACCCAAAGCTGTCGCACTACTTCGACTCCTTGCAGGTTGACGGGCTTCATAATGATGTGGTCGAAGGTCTTGGACAACGCTGCAAAAAAACAACGCGCCCATGACGACGCAGCCGCGTGTGGAGATCCGTAAAAGTTACCGGAAAGTATATGTACGTCCAGATTCATTACATGGCCGCTCGCTAGCGCGCCAGTCATGCACTTGGATTCGCTAGCATAACATCCGGATACGCGCCGGTCATTGCGATCGCGCATCCAAGTGCTACTTTCCGATACATTCGTCGTAGGCCACTGGCGTAGGATGGATTTTCCACAGTCGCAGCTGCAACAGTTCACCGCAGCTGCAATGATTGGAAGCCGAGTAGCTGGATCGGGTGAAACAGTGTTTGCTTTCGGCGTTTTGCCAGATCGCTCGAAGTGCTCGACGAGTTGCAGTCAGTTGGCCAGCACAACACCGTCTTGTTGGAGTACGTGATACTTCGATGCGTTACCGCTGCACCATTACAGCTACTACAACGGAACTCTGAGCTTAAAAGCGAACGAGTGTTTGACAACTATTGGCGCCACAAAGATGCACGAGCGAATCGCTACTACACACTTCAGTATCGCTACTGCAGCAGTAGTGGGCGTGCATCTTGCACCGTCACCTTGATAGAGAATGGCAATTAGACGGGCCCGTGCAGTGAATATCGGAATCCAACAGCAAGAGCAACAACAGCACAACAACAACAACAACAACAACACAGGACTAGTGTCGTAGCAAAGCTGCATCAGGCACTGCCGTGTCTTGGTCTGCCCTGCGTCGCTTCGCTATCTCACCCACGAAAGAGCCCCGCCAGCTTCATCTCGAGACAGAATCTCCGACTACCAAGAGACACCGAATCTCCCGTGGCAAGACACCCTTTGCGACCCGTCGCCACTCGTGCCAACGTCAGTACCACTGGACGTTAACAAGACCCAACGTCGGAAAAAGGCATATGCTGCCACTTCGTGCCCGAGCTGCCTACCAAACAACAACACTCTACTGCATTTGCATGACCCTGCAATGGCTAAAGCAGCGTCTCGTACCGAAGCTGAGGACAGTACGCGTTTCTGCATTGTGACCAAGGACGAAGCTGACTCTACGCGTAACGACCAACGGCAAACACCGGACGAAAAGGCCAACCCGGGGGGGTCCGACCGTTCACACGGCTGACTTCTGTTCGCGTGGATACCACTGCGTTCAGTGCTTTCGTCGCACGAGTCGATAGCCGTCAGGTCCGGACCATCACATGGACCAAAGAGACGATCCTCGTGGTCCGTTTCCATATCATCAAACGCACGTCCCTCCGTCTTATAGATCGAAATAACGGCTGACCCAAACGACGGCTGTCGCTTCGCGTCGTGCTATGTTTTTTTCCGTGTCGCAGGTGACCTCCCTGACCGATCCAAAAAGACGCTTTTTTGCCATTGACTTGAAAGTGCGGGAGAGAGACGGGGATACTGAGGAGGAGGAGGAGCTGTGTGTGACCAGCTCGGCACGACCTTTGTATCGATCAACAAACAGACGCTCTGAGATTCGGACGCGCGACGTGCGTCTCAACTCGAGGGGCGTCCGAGCAAAAGAATGCCACGAGGGAAACTGTTTTCCTTCATTTCCCAATTGACCTCGTGCCTAGTCACCCAGTCGCCCCCCGTTGCAACAGAATGACCAACACTTGCTCCTCGCTGGACAACTCGACGCCACTCGATGAGTCAGTGGTTGTCATCAACAAGCGACAATGGAACGTCCAGGCGTCCGAGTTCTCGAAGCTCTGTTCAAATCCGATTCGAGAAATCGTCGACAACATCAAGAAACCGGCAGCCTCTGCTTCGACCAAGAAGTTGATTCCCCTATCGCTTGGTACGTCGCTGCTGCTGCTGCTGCTGCTGTTGTTGTTCTCCCATCCCGATGAGCAACGTCTACTGTTAGATGTAGGAGAGGGACACACATACATGTCACGTGCTGACTCGGGTCGAACTTACGATGGGTTCTTTTTGATACAACAGGTGACCCCACCGTATTCGGCAACTTGCACTGCCCTGACGTTCTGGTCGACGCTATCGTTCGCAACACTCGGTTTGTGACTGCTTTTCTACCACCATCACCACCATCACTTTGGCGTACACAGTCGACTAACCTTGTCGCAATCGCTTCGCTACTCTTCCCTTGCGCTTTCCTGTGTAGCTCTATGCAGCACAATGGCTACATCCACTCGGCTGGCTCCGAAGTCGCCCGTGCTGCGATTGCTGAGCACTTTGGAAGACCCGAAGCCCCATTGACGACGGATGACGTCATCATCACGAGCGGGTGCTCGGGTGCCATTGAGATGGCTCTCCAGGGCTTGTTGAACCCGGGTGACAACATCCTGCTTCCGAATCCGGGGTTCCCATTGTACCGAGCGCTTTGTGCAGCGTACAAGATCGAGTGCAGATTATATACCCTCAAAGTGAGTTGTTGCAAAGGTAGACATGGGATGTGTTGCGTGTGTGTGTGTGGTTGTCACGTATGCTGACGAGTTTGACTTGACATTGCACGGCAGCCGGAGACCAACTGGGAAGTTGACCTGAAGCACATGCAAACACTCATCGATGATCGGACCAAGGCTATTCTAGTGAACAACCCTTCGAATCCGTGTGGCAGTGTCTTCTCCAAGGTCCAACAAACGAGCGCGCTATCGCTATTGTGTTATGTATGCGTGTCGTCTGAGCTCACTCCAAGCGGTGGTTCTGATGTCGTGCAGTCCCACTCGGAAGAGATCCTCGAGGTCGCGGAGCTGAACAAGATCCCTATCATCACGGTGAGCGAACGTCTCTATCTTTTGTCGATGTCGATCAGGTGTCAAACTAACATGGCCGACGATACGTCAGGATGAAATCTATGGCGACATGGTGTTCGGCAACAACGCGTTCTACCCCATGGCGTCGCTAACGACGACGGTCCCGGTCGTTACTGTGGGCGGCTTGGCAAAGCAGTTTTTGATCCCCGGCTGGAGGGTCGGCTGGATCACGGTGCACGATCGCAACAACGTTCTAGCCGACGTGCGTACGGCCTACTTCAAGTTGTCGCAAAACATTCTTGGAGCGAGCTCACTGGCCCAGGTAGAGACTATCGCATGGTTCAGGTTGAAGTCTGTCGTAACACAAGCTGATCGGTCGTCGTTTTGCTGCGTCAGAGTGCAATCCCAGCTTTGCTCACGCCTGTTCCTGGAAGCATCGAAGAACAGTCGTTGACCGGCTTCAAGAAGCGGTTCTTTGCAACGTTGGAGGACAATGCCAAGTTCACGATCGACGTTCTCTCCAAGATACCGGGCCTGGAGGTGGTCGTCCCTCAGGGCGCAATGTATGCAATGGTAATAAGCGTCCATTGCAAGTGGCTGGCTGGCTGTGCAAAACATATCACGGGTATGGTAACTCACAGTCACATGTGTCTGTTTGTGTTGCAACAGGCAAAGATACGAACGGACATCTTGACCACGATCAAAGACGACCTCGACTTTACGCAGAAGCTGTTGGATGAAGAATCCGTGTTTGTCTTGCCTGGACAGGTGCGTGCAGCCAGCATAGACTGATACTGCTTTTGTGTGTGATGGATCGATCAACTACTCTATTGACTTGTTTGCCGGTGTGCTCTTCTTGCTAGTGCTTCGGGATGACTGGCTACTTTCGCATTGTGTTCTCCGCACCACATGACGTGCTCGCCGACGCTTACATTCGCCTCGAGGACTTCTGCCGTCGTCATCAGTGACTACTGGATACCGACGTTCATGGACAGCGATCCGGTCGACGTGACTCTCTGGCTCAAGCAAGCGACAGTGTCTCACGCTTTCGTGACGACGGCAGTCTCAAGCAAGCGGTTCACGCCACCAGTGGGGGAAGGAGGCTGAGTTCCTCGATCCATGTACTTTGACTTTGAATGGAGCTGATTTTCTCTAGACGCACACATCTCCTTCTTCTTCTTCTTCTTCTTCTTCTTCTTCTTCTTCTTCTTCTTCTTCTTCTTCTTCTTCTTCTTCTTCTTCTCACTGACCCACACTCCGCGTTTGTGGACGACTCCACCATATTCCTTGAGCATGCCAATCAGTTGGCGCCTGCGTTGGAGCTCGTCTCTAGATTTGGACAACCTCGGGCCTTCATGTCCAGCCTGCCAAGAGCAAATTGATTTTTTTAAACACGGCTATCAGGCTACACCAGTATGGTGGCATCTCAGTCTTACAACACAGAGAGACAACGCGATACCTGGGGTACGAAGTGGGGACAGGGGCATTATTCGATCGAAACTGGGCGCTTCGGCTTCAGAAAATCCGTCGGCGGCTTCTCACTGCAGCGAAAGTAGCGACTAGTGTGCAAAATCGTGTCCTCATTCTCAACGCGATCATTTTACCGGCTATCCTGTTCACCGCGGCCGTCTTCGATGTGCCGAGCTGGGCGAGAACGGAGATATCTCGGCTGTACCGCCAATTCCTGTGGGCGCACGCTTCTGTGCCTGCCGTACGTCGGCACAAAATTAACCCGGGTCTCCTCTTTACGCCCCAGAAGGCAGGCGGGGTTGGTCTGGCCTCGTTCGAAGTAGCCGTCAAAACTCAGCGGACGAAGCACGCGTTGCGTTGGCTAACGCAGCCGCATGACAAATATTTTACAGCGTGGCGGCGCTGGACATATAGCGTGGGAGGTTCCACATCGGCTCTTGTCCCGGCGCTCCATCCGTCTGCTTCAACAACGTTTGACATCAGGCGAGGACCTGGTCGTTCCTCTCTGGCGCAGGATCTCGAACGGCTCCTAGCACCCTCCCCTGAACAAGTGCTGTCGATTCGGGCCAGATTGGACGCGCATCACGCTCGTATGTATGTCGGGGCGAGCAGTCAGTGGAACGGTGACGAATGGTTAATTTCATACCATCAAACGTTTCCTGACCATCCCGCTGTTGCTGATCACCGGATGGATACATTAGCCGCTTTCTGGGGCCGCTTTCACTGGGATGGCAATCCTTGGATTCAAGGGCCAGACGGCAAGCCCCTAGAGCGGGCCAAATATGCCCGGATACCTCCATGTTCACTGCGCAGTCTGTGCATTCGGCGACTGGGGTCACATGAATTTCAATTTACGTTCCCGTCTCTCGGCGGTACTCCGTCTCGGCATATGCATTGTAAATTACAACGTTGGGCGACTTCGATCCTGCTCTCGTCACCCCACCTTGCTGTCGGTGCGGGACCGGTAGAGCCCGGGCTCGTCTTACGTCATCCACCGCCGTTTCGGCGCGCTTATAAATGGTCCCGGGTGCGAGCTGATTTAATTGTCGGGTCCTGTCGGGACCCTGTCGAGTCCGCGAACTCGGCGATTCGCCTCCGCCAAGATGTCAATGGAATCCATTGGTCGATTGACGGGAATTTACCAGAATTACGGGGGTCGCCTCAGCAAGTGTCTAACTACTGGGAGCATTCGTACCATCGTACCTTGGTGTTTCATGCCCACCCGGAGCTTCACCGTTTCCCTTGGAGTGTGCCAGAGACGGTGGCCAATGTAGATGTGTGGACAACGCTTATGAAGCAAGCGTTTCACGTTCATAAACGCCTTCTGCACCCTGGCCTCCAGTCCTGGTTGAAGGCCTATGACGCGCAGGCGGTATCGAATAGTTGGCAGTCAGCTGCATCAAATCAAACGCCTTCCCAAGTTTGGAAACACGCAAACGGGCTAACGGAGTATCAAGTCTGGACATGCTATCGTATCGCGACAAAGCAGCTAAATCTATACCATGCCGGTCGCACGCTGGACAACAGTTGTCGTACGGTGCTGCACTGCCGGGGACGCAAAGAGACAGCGGCGCACATTTTCTGGGAGTGCCCAATCGCGCAAGCGTGTTGGTGTCACTTGATAGGACACTGGACCGGTGGGGGTGCGACGAACGCAGTTCTTTCCACCTTCTTTCAGCACTGCGCCAATCGCAAAGCCCCGCCCATTCCACGTCAGCTGAGTTTGCGGTTGCAAAGCCGTTTTCAAGATGACTCTGACGCCGCAGCAACAGAATTCGAACGGATCTGGTTCATATTAAGCTCCATCTGCCAAGAACATTTGTGGACCGAGCGGAACTCGGCGGTCTTTCGAGGAGCCGTGACTACTCCATCCGCAAGTGTCCAAATGTACTGGACACGCGGTGTTCGCCAGCTACGGGCAATTGCAATACGCGAGCATCGAGCCGCGGCTACGGCCGTACGAGGGGCCCGACTTCATGCCTGTCTTGAACTTCTGCTTCAAGAGCCCCGTGGACACCCGCCCTACGCGGGTGTCAGCCACGATCCGCTGCCGCGACCGGCGCTCATATCCTGGCTCAGGATTTTTCAGACCTCTTGTCCACATTAAATATGTCAATAGATGATCATGAAACTCCTCCTTCTCACTGACCCACATTACTAGCAGCGATACTTGCCTCCATGTCTCTTACTGTTCCTACATCAGAGTTTGCAGCAAGACATGATGAGCAGATGCCACGACTCGAAAGTGCATGGAAAAGAGATGACCCGACCAGAAGTTCTGTGGATTTGTGGCATCAGGTGGATCACGACCCTGAGACTTCTCGACATGGCTGTGCAGAGGCGCAGCAGTATGACGCCGTCGTCTCTGCCAGATCGGCCTTTACGGCTGTGCAGAGGCGCAGCAGTATGACGCCGTCGTCTCTGCCAGATCGGCCTTTACGGCTGTGCAGAATGGCCTTTTGTTGTTAGCACAAGTGGTACATCTACGACGGCAGTAGACTCAGTGTGCCTCTATTTCAATCGCATTGCTACCGACAATAGCTGCCGTGCCCTACCGGCGTGTCGCGGGATGTCCGAAACTTCGATGCACGTTTTTGAAAGAGTAAATCTCAAAACCAGTACCACAAATGTACAAAAGTCCCAGAACCAGTCCTGTACTCAACTCAAGTACAAAAACCACACTAAATAGTGTCAACCACATTGTAGTTAACTACAACATGGAATAAGAAACTGCTTGATTGCTAGGTAGAGCGAGACGGCGGTAAGTGAAACAGACAATGGTAGCAAGTGCGGCAGCAAGTAAGTCGAAATACATTCGATTGGCCCTTTCGTGCCCAACGCTGACAATTCATATAGCTACCAGCTCGTACCGTGCCTCTTTGAAATCGTCATGTACGCAGCTGTAGAAGCCTTAAATTTCGTGTCCGACCGATCTTCCCCTTGTGAACCAGCAAGGATTGTTCAGGGTGAACGATTGGGGTAACATCGGTGGTCAGAGCGGCACGCCTAGGCTCGGCGGTTTACTGGTTAAGACCCTATTACGGGCTTCGATGCTGGAAAGCGCGGAGTTGTCAAGAACGTGTGGGGCCCTATGGGTATACCCACGCCCGACAACCTCGCACCTGGTCCAACTGGAGCTGGCATACCTGTGGGCACTGGCCTGCCCGATCCGTATAACCAATGTAATTAGAACATCGACGGGTACGAGGTAAGTATGATACGCATCCACCTGTTGCCGCTATTTGCGGCCAGGGACCGTACCCTCCCCAGTCTTCCCAACATCCAACCGCAGCAAGAGTACGCTAGCCCGAGCAACTACGAGAACTACGAGCCCTCGAGTGATGACGAAGCGAACGGCACCGTCGACGAGCGGCAGATGTTTGCTTCGGCTATCTTTGGCGTCATTCCCGGTGCACCAGCCCCAATGCCTGGGGCTCGACGTGTCGGGGCGGGCGCACGCTCCACGATTACTGCTACCCGTCAAACAAGTTGTACTTCCAGGCGCCGTACATCGAGCTGGAGCGACCACCACCAGCAGCAGCAGATTCCTCCAGCCCAAACCTCCATGGATCAAGCTCCGCCTTCGCAACAACATCTCGCGAAGGTCAAAAGGGACCTACTCAATGCATCATTTGGCGCGCCCGTAGCTCCACAAGGACCAGTTGGATTCCAGCAGCCACTGCAGCCACTAGAGCACCACCAACCGCAGATAATGACACCGCAAGAGGATCAACACTTGACGATGTACGCAGACCCGTTTGGAATAGGCCCACCGCTTTTACTTGCGCGTGTTCCCGAAGGCATCTCGCCAGCTGCTTCAAACAATCCTTCAACAGCATTATGCTAACCTTAATTACGGCTGCAAAACAAGATGATTTAATAGAGACACGATGGTAGCTGGTAGCTATTTAGTAAGTAAACACCGAGCGCAAAAGGGCCAAAAATGTATATTTACTTGACTTGTTGCCTCACTTCCTGCCATTGTCTGAGTCACTTGCTGCCGCCTCGCCTATCCCTAGCTATCAAGCAGATTCTTATTCCATGTTGCAGTTAAGTATAATGTAGCTGACACTATTTAGTGTGGTTTTTGTACTTGAGTTGAGTACAGTAGTGGTTTTGGGACTTTTGTACATTTGTGGTGCTGGTTTTGAGATTTACTCTTTTTGAAACTGCCAGAAGGCGAGCATGCTGGTGTAAATTCCTCAGCCACTGGGCTAGCGCTACAGTGTGGCCTACAGTTGTTGCTAGTTGCTCCGGCAACTGTGCGAATCGCCAGGCTCCGGCGATCCCGGTGCTTCAGCGGTCTCGGTTGCCCGAGCAATTTCGCGCCCGGCTCTGTATTCTTTGCTTAGAAGAGCTCAGACCTCTAGCGCGTAATCATCATGTGTAATAGACAGTCATGAATCTCTCTCGCTCTATGCGTGAGCATAGAGGGGCGGCAAGAGTGCTTCAAGGAGCTAGATTGCATGCCTCGATTGAATTATTTACTCTTGAGGCT